TCATCACAAAACAAGTAGTGCTTCTGTAGATTTGATGCCAAGTAACCCCATGCTGCTGCAAAGGTCAAAGCCAGTGGTTGCAACGCAGGGTCCTGTCCCCTTTAGTCCCATCTGGGCAGATGTGGAAAGAACACACCATCCTGTTGAGTGCTCCTCTTACACCAAGGGTAACAGCTGGAACAACCATTTGACAAACCAAAATACACACGGAAAAGGCAAGACAGAAGCCTGGGAGGGAATACAGAAGAAAGCAGCTAAACAGACACATTCAGCAGAGCTGAGTTGTCCATTTTTCCATTCCTCCACCCTGCCATGAAACATGCCAAGGACAGCTCTCTGCCCCTGGGCACACTGCGCTCAGGTACACCTTGCACACCAATGACTCAGGAGCAGTCATCACTCCTCATCACCTAGTCCTTGACTCAAGACTTGCCCAAGTCTCTGAGGAGTCGCAAGTGGTGGGTCCTTGTGAAGTATTTGTCCACAATGTTTTAACACTGAGATAACTTCAACAAACTTTAAGAGAGTCTCTGATGCATTAAACATCAACAAAGCATTCTTCTGAATGAGCCCCATAATCTGGCAGAGCTCCTTCCAACATCAATATCAATTTCCTCCATCAACAGGAGGCAGAATAATAGCAACTTCCTCTGTACAATACAACCCTTAATTGTCCCAGATCAAACAGTGGCTCCCAGAGGCTATTCCTGCTGCTCTACAGGTAACTATGTCCTAGACAAGATACAACAACTTTTATCAGCAAATGTTAAATGCAGCAGAAAGGCCAGAAGGCGTGTATCAGCACTGCTAATAACCTTATTAGCATCACTGCACTGGCTCTAATGAAACACACAAACCACTGCTGAGAACAGCACAGGCACTCCAGTGACCAGAAAACACTGGCAAAGTCTTGCTCATCTGAGAGGCAGCAAATCCATAGAAGCGCTGTCAGATCAGGGTTTTTTCCCTTTTGTATCAGCTCCACTATGCCTCTGATCCCCCTCTTAATGACAAAGTCTTTATTGATTTCAGTAGAACTCAGCAAGACTGAGCAGAAAACAAACTAAAGAGGGAAAAGTCAAGTGAGTCATTAGTGCGTAGAGAAAAGAACCATGTTGTAAGTAGTCTTCAACATACTTCTTTAAAATAAACAATGCCACAAACTGGGGGAATCCTTTGACATTTGTGAAGATGGAGCAGTAACAATCCCTGCACAGTCTGCAGAAGTGATGAATTCCTCCACTAAAAGGGGTTATTTATGCCAAATGCCAATAAATACACAGATAAAATTAATCTGCTTGTTTGGAAACCTCTAGATGGGAGTTCAGATCTTAAAATACAAAATCAGACTCAGAGAGACACAATCAAAACAGCACCAAACGAGAACATTTTTCCCAACTTCCAACAGCAACCTGGTCTAGTGAAAGATGTCCCTACCAATGGCAGGGAGGGTTGGAGCTAGAGGATCTTTGAGGTCCCTTCCAACCCAAACTGTTCTATGATTCTATGTTTAGCCAGAGCAAGCACGGTCCCACAGTCTTTCTAACTCTGTTACAGCACAAATGTGTTCTCTTTAGAACATCCTTCGGTGAGTAATTTCATACACTTACCTCTGATTCAGTTTGCCTGGGTTACCACTACACAGCCCTTTTTCCTGGGTCTGGTTACTAGAGCAACAGAATCTGTTTTGGATTTGGTAGCAACATATTGCAGGCACCAAAAAAAAAAAAAAATCTGCTATTAGCTCAAGAAACATGAAACTACAAGTCATGCCACAGAGGAATCCTCCTGTAATATCTCACTCATCTCTCTAATTATGAAACTTTATGAATCCCCACATCCTCGGCAGAACACGAGCATGAGCGACCTCTGCCTCAAAGGATGCACAACAGAGGTGCACTGCCCACAACCTCCTGTGTGCTTGTCACCACAGAGAAACCACATGACAGATCTGATGGACTTCATAGCCAGAAAAATATTACATTCCACAGATTCTACTACTTGCACTAACGATTAAAGTCAAAGCATAACTTTAAATTCCATATGGTATCACATCTGCATTATTCTGCACACACATATTAATATAAAAAGAAGGTGGCTTGGGGGGAGTGTTCTTGGGGTTTGGATTTTTTTTTTTTTTTTTTTTTTAATAACCAGGAGTCTTCCTGTATTGTCATTTCACTGCAAAGTGACCATATTAGATATTGTTACTCCACTTAACTCTTGTACAACTCAGAAGGAGGAAAAAAAAGCCCTCTCGTTGCACAGAGTTGTTTCTAACTCACTGCCTTGGGACACAAGGGTTTTTATTGTAGAGGTGAACAATGACTAGTCCTTAGCTGTCAGGTTTCTTCCTCCCAGCCACAATACAGCCCAGTGCAGCACGTACGTATTCAATGTAAGTAATGAACTAAAGACAGCACGAACTGGTCAATCCGATCATTTCTCAGCCACAGCCAGCCATTACATAAAGTTCAGGCAGACTATTATCACTGTTATGAGTAAGTTCTTATCCTGAGAGAACAATCCATGCCACATTTGCTCCTAATTTCAACTGAGGGAGCTTACTCAAAAACATTGTATCTGGTCACACACAGTGTAGCCCCCACTGAGTGAGTGTGCTATTATGAGAAAGCAAACTGATATAAATATAGCACAGTGACAGTAGTTACTGTGCAGTTACTTCCACTCTGCAGTTACTTCCTCTGCAAAACAGAGCAGAATGAAGCGAGTAAGATGCTCAGCCAGCTTTCTGCTAAGGCCACTGAAAACTGCATTGATGACATCAACAAAAAAAATCAGTTAAAGACAAATCTGATCAAATAATTCTCAAACAACACTTAAACTGAGGAATTTGACCTGCTCTCAAGTATCCACAAACATAAGATGACATTTCCATTAGTTTCTTCTCCATTTATATTCATTCATGGAATAGATTTTTTCCTGTTAGCTTTTATTTTCACTAGCCAAGTTGACTGTAGGTTGATGTAAGAATTAATCATCCAATATCTGAAACTCTACTTGTGACAGATAGGCTGGGACAGGGCAGATATTAAACCTCATTGCTGGTTGAGTGTGCATACACATCCACTCTTATGCAATCCATAATTCATATGTAGAAATTCAGATTATGATTTTGATAGCAAAAGCCAGAAAGCAAATAAATGCTTGTTTTCTTTTTCTTTTCTTTTTTTTTTTTTTTTTTAACTCTACATGTAGAAAGGAACACGATCAGAAACATATCTCTGCAGGAAAAATAATAAAGCAGCATATAGTAAGCAGAAATCATTTTCTGGCAGTATTTTCCCAGCTACAGTTGAACTGCCAACTTTAAAGATGTTATTTTAGCATACAAGATGAATGTATCTCAGGAACAAAAAGAATCACTCTTCCTAATCCTCCTCTCATGCACCCTCCTGCAGACTGTTCTCAGACATGAAGTATTGCTTAAAAATGCCCATGGAGCAGACTGAAAGAAGTTGCTGCTCCTCTATATAGTTATTTATAATAGATAATCTTTAGATAGATAATCTTAGAATCACTCTTAATTCCAGCTCATCATTTATGGTGTTGGCAGAGTTGCTCCAGTGAATTTAGTCTCATTATTCACTTGTGCAGTTGTACAGTATCTTGTATTTTATGTATCACCCTTTTTTATGCAGTGTATCCCTCACAAGCACTTAGAGAACCAAGTGAAGGTGAATAATGATCCAAGGACAAGGCTCAATGACGAAATACTATGATTTTATGGCCAGTTACAGAAAAACATGGACACACTTTGAATAGGGAGATGAACCTCTTCAAGAGAAGTAGCAATACATCCAGGAACACCATAGCAATAGGCTTTCCAATAGGCTTCTGTCCTATCCCAAGGCACTGAATTTCACTCAAAGTCAACAGGACTGTTCAGTTTTGCTGTCCATGGCCACACCCAGCTGCATTCAGTTACGCTTAGGAACTTGCTACAAATGTCTTTGGAAAAAAACCCAAACAGTAATGAGATCATCCATTCAGTTGAAAGTCACGTCAAGATAGGGATGATGTGACAAGTGTGCAGTTTTGGTTACTAGAAACCATGCTAACAAGTGCAGAAGGGTCTCATTTATGGCAGCACACACTTCATGGATCTGTTGCACTGGAGCAGTTTATCTACTGACAAGTCCTGCAGAAAGAAGAATGAGCCAAGCTGGCAGGTTTTTTAAAGAACAGCTTCACCCACAACATCTTCTTTAAACCTGCTGGGAGGGGGAACGACTGCTGAAACCCACATGCACTTTACCCCAATAACAGTGATGTTTCATTGGGTAACTAAAGCCAAATTTCATAGCTTAACCATCTGAAAGAATTTTGCAACATGATCACCAGAAACATGAGTTCTACTTCAGGCTCATTGTATCTCAGAATAGACCTCACCAGCTTCCGCATCCCATTCCATCACAGGGATCACATTATCAAGGGTCCTGCCACAGCATCCTGGGTCACAGCACCCACTCCTTAACAGGCACTTCCTTTCTAAAATGTGACAGTGAGAGTGACAAGACATGCATGTCCTCTCAGTCTTCTTATATTGCAGTGATGACTCAGACACATGCTTTGGAACAGGAAGAGAATTAGGGTATCTTGGGGGGAAAAAAAAATCCCACCTCAATCATCATCACACATACCACTTGAAAATTTTTCATCCAAAACCAAGCAGTTAAGTCACCAATATCTGAATTTAAAGCAATCTGGTCAATCACAACAGCAGGAGGAAGCATCTTCCTAGCCATCCAGTAATAATCACCATGGCCATTGATCTTTACCATTGCTACAATATGAGCAAACATCAGAGTATTTCCCTGCTGCTTGATACAGGGCTCTATGCCAAGTTGCCTTCATAAGCACAGCAGTACATGAAGAAGAGACCTTTAGGCTTCCTTTCCACTGGCATCAAACAGGAAACAAGAGCAAGATGCCAGCCCACAAGGAAAGCCTTCAGTGAGAAGTTCAGAGAGCCTTACCTATGTACAGGGAGGAATCTTTCCGCCTCACGTGGTCGTCGATGTAGGAAACTCCCAGGGGCTGGACAGGGGTAGCACCAATGCCCAGGAGGACCTGTGCTCCAATGAGCAGCAAGTACATCATGTTGGTAGCAGTTCTATTCCTGCAGATAAGGTCTGGGTCTGGTCCCTCATCGCTGGAGGACCCGTTGACAGCACACACATCCCTCCCTTCAGCCCCCCAGCGTATTTCTCCCGACTCATATTCGTACTGGTGGGTCAGAAATTCAGGCAACGCGGAAAGGAGGGCACCCAAGGCCATGACTATCCCTCCACATCCTATTAAGCGTGGTCGGTGTCCTCGGGCCCCGAAGTAGCTCACGAAGAGGATGAGGGCCAGGTTGCCAATCTCGAAGCTGCTGGCAATGACGCCCACGTCAGCACTCTGAAGGTTGAATCGCCGCTCCAAGGTGGTTAAAACACTCACCTACAACAGAGGAATCCAGAGAAAATTACTGAAAGGGAATGTGACCTCCCCTCTGCCCTTCCCATATGTACTGCTAAAGTGTAAATTTCCTTGACTTTTCCTTGAAGTCAAAAGCATACACATCAAGGGCATCCAAATCAGAGTATAGTAGTTGACCTCCAAGCATGACCTGACTATTCAAATACAGCCACATCAGAAGGTCCTAATACCAAGTGACATTTCACAGCCTACCACCTGTCTGAGCACATGTCCATTTCCAAATTCCTGCATCCATCAATGTATATTTCGGATGCCTGCAGACACCCATGACTCCGTGATTGGTTACTCTCTCTTTGGGCTTGCTTTCTATTTGAAGGCACAACCTTCACAGTGCACGGTCCCACAGAACCAAGGCACAAACCACACCAAGCCTCACATCATGCCAGGCACCCAAACCTTCCCTTTGGAAGGAACTGCAGTTAGGGAGCAACAGAAAACCCTGTGGATACTTTGCCTGCACACCGGCACAAGTCAGCTGGAGACAGAGATATATGAATAGGCAGTTTGGCTGGCACAGGAAGCTTCTACTAAAATATATAAATAAAATGCTGATCAAAGGGTTTAAACTGTTTGTGGATTAGTTAATGACTGGAATCGTCACAGAGTATTTTTGAGAAGACAGGCCAATTAAGGTTTACATAGAAGATTTAAATCCACCATGAAGAAGGGATGATTTAACAAATAGGGGTTATTTAACACTAAGAAGAGAGAAGCACATGAATAGTCTTCAAATATTTAACACTGCTGCAAAAAGGAATGACCTGTTCTTTGAATTCAAATGGACAGAACAAGAAGTGACAAGTTTAAACTGCAGTAGAGATGATTCCAGTTAAATACAAGGTGGGGAGACTTTTACTGGAAAGGATTCTGAGGCACTGAAACATGCTGCCTGGAGAAGCTGCAGAGGCCTTTAAAAGAACACAGACCAGCATCTGCCAGGAAAGACACAGGTATGACTGATCTTGCCACAGGGCGGGAAAATGAACCAGATCATCTGTTGAGAGCTCTTCCAATCTTGATTACATGGTGCAATGAAACACAATGTGGATTTTCTGCAACAGTCACAGCACTGATCAGAGCACGAAGGATGAACCATTAGGTACTTCACCTGCCATTAGGGCTGCTCAAGGGAAAACACAGGGCATTATCATGTCTATGGCAGTGTGCCTCTTATACAGTAAAAAAAGTAACAAAAGAAAACTTGAACATGTCACAGAAATGCCAAAAACTTTTACCTTGAATAAAAAACTATGTAGTTTTTTCAGACTCGGGTAAGATGAAGATATTTAAGGTTGTTCTAAAAGACGCAGGTTTCTCTATTCAAAAAAAAAAAAAAAAAAGTGAAAAAGACCTCAGAGCAGAAGGTAGCCCCTGGATAGAATAAAAATAGCCTCCCACTGGAGGCACTGAAAATCTTTGCTGATAAACCTCACGAAGCAGGAGCCAGTCTGACCGACTTTAAAGTATTCTGACAGCAGCTCTTCTCCGGGAGCAGTTAGCCTCTGCTAGGGTACACCAGGGCACAGTTGGACAAAGACATCCCTGTTGGCAACAAAATGGGAAATGGAAACAACCCACTTCTGCTGCTTTGCATCAGCAAGAGCTTCCAAACTTGACCCTGGTATGTGTCCAAGTCAGATATCCAAAACTGGACTGTCATAACGTTTTCTGAAAATTCAGCCTTCTTCTCATACAGGCTGTTATTTTATACTACCACTGTAAACCTCCCCTGCTACAGAGCCAAGAACTAAGGAAGGAAAGGAGGAAAAACCTAAAAATCGAACCCTGTGACTGCAGGAAGTGCAAGAGTAACAATTCTTCCCACAACAAAGCCAAGTGAGGATGTGCGTGTCAAAGGCAGAAGAGATCACCACTTCACCTGCTACACCAGGTGCAGGTCCCTGTTGGGATGAAACAGCTCTGTGATTCATGAGGGAAAACGATGTTCTCTGTGCGAGGGCACAGCACAGCCTGTCCCCGCTCCAGTGACCTCGGCTCTGCAAGCAGTGCTCGAGCTCACACCTAACAGGGACACTGCTGCTCCCAGAACTCCATGGGAGCCACAGCAGAGCAGAGCAGGTGGGGACAGACACTGCTAGAAAACACTATGTTGGTATTTTCAAAGCAAGGCACACCAAGGAGGAGGGATACAGACAACATCCGACTGCCTCAGGCAGTCCCACCAGGCACTCGTGTGTCAGAGAACTGTTAAATGGTTTGGTTTGAAAGGGACCTTAAAGATCACCTCGTTCCAGACCCTTCACTGTGGGTAAGGATTTATCACCCACAACACAGGGCTGCTTTTACTGAAAGATATGATCTAATGGTGGTGCAGTCAGGTGGGACTTCTGGCCTGAACACCACACAGCAAACACCAAACTTCAAGCGATGCAAAGCCCTGGCAATAGGAACCCTCCTTCATGCTACCACCTCCAGCATGTCCCTAGAGGAACTCAGCTATAGCTAGGGTCCCATGAACACCAAGTTTGGAAGAATGGGGAATCTCTCTAAGATGAATATGTAACTCTGACCAGGCAAAATCATATCTGTGATGCTCATTTCTGAGCTTTACCTAGATAGGAAACTCATGATTACTCATTACAGCTGTGTAAACTGAGGTAGAGAGCCAACTATTAATGAGACAAGTACAGCAAACAAAATTAATTTCTGATGGAATAATTTAGGCTGGAAGACTGAAAGCCAACAGAAGTGATTTCCCAAGGCCAACTGGTATTAACTAGCTTTGGATTTCTCCCACATTTCGACCTGGCTGCCAAATTTTAGGCTTTGACCATACATACATGTAAGTGCCTAGAGAGTGGGATAGTGTTTAGAAACACTTGGGTGCCAGGCCTGAGAAGGGTCAGATTCTGGACAGCTGGATTTCAGATAAAAATACTACACCATTTTTAAGTGCAATTCACAGTGACAGTAAATTGCTGACAAACCTGTGAACTAAAAGCAGAGTCCCAATTCTCATTCTGCTGTTATTTCAGTGGGACTTGAGTAGTTCTTTTCCTTTTTACAAAAGCTAAACCACTCAAAATAGAGAAAAAGAGTCTCACCATCCCCTAGCACTTTCTTGCTTTACTTTGGTGAAGAGCTTGAAATGAAAGAAGGATGAGGATGACAACACAAAGCAAACTCCAACCCTCCTGATAAAAGCTGGCAGTTCTTATTCTTTTGGCCAGACCACACTGCATTTCCCAGCTTGCTCCTTCTGACTGCAGCACTGCTACCCAGTGGTACCAGCTCTCCCTTTACTAAGTGGGTCATGAGGAGCAGTGGGGTATGGTGAAAGAACAAATCCATCCTACCATCCTGGAGCATCCAGAGAGAAAGAGCATCTAAGTACAAAGTGCTGAGACCAGTGTCAGCAGAGTAGCCTCAAAACACTGACAAGTCACAGCGAGGGGAAAAAAAAAACCACCTAAATCCCAAAATAAAAACAGAGCCGGGAAATAAACTGTCAACATGCAGATTTTTAGCCAGAGAACAACAGGAACACAACTGCATTACATCCAGGGTGGTTGCAGCCCAGAGAGCACAGCCCAAATTCCTACTATGACATTGGTTGTGACCTTACAAAGACCAACTACAAAATCAGCATTAGCAAAGCAGAGATGTTACCTGCATTTGTTCAAAATAAGTCCCTGCCCATGGCTAGAATCATTCTCTCACTCTCAGTGCCCCATCCTGATGGGACTTCCTGCATATGAGGTAGAACCTGACTAAATACCTTCAGTTTCCATGTGGGATGCTCCTGGTGCCCTTGTAACTGTGAAATAAAAGAGGACTGTACTGCCCATATTTCCTTGCACAAGCCTACTCCCCAGCAGATCAGCCATCACCGCTCCCAGACACCAACTCTGTTTATCGAGAGTTACATAAAATGTTGCAAAAGACACAGGTCCCTGTAACATACTGACGTCATGTGAAAAGGCTGTAAGGATTATAGAGAGTCCCTGTGTGCTGACATCAGGTTGATCATTCAAGAGCACAGCCCTCGTGGATGCTGGTTTAATAGCAGGGATGCAGGGAAGCGGCTTCAGATGAACAACCTCCTGCTACAACACAGTGGGAAACACCAGGAGCACACGTTATTAGCTGTGAAGCTGCTATTTCCCAGCTCCTGTCAACTTACACAGCTGTTTTGCCAGGGATGGAAAGAATTGACTGAGAGGATATTTAGTTAAAAAAGGCTTCTAATCTAAGATCAAAATGTTACCAGGAAGCCAGTCCATGATCCAGCAGAACTCACTCAAACAGGATACAGCAGACATGTGGGTCTGACCCCAAGAAGTCAGTGGTGTAAAACCACCCACAGGACCAGACAAGTCCACAGCAGGCATGAGGACAGAGGCAGGGCCAGACTTGGAATCACGGCCAGTGCCAAAACCCATGATAATGGGGACAGTACTGAACCTACAGCTTCCTATGGGAATTCACCTGTGCTACAGACAGCTGTACTCTGCCTGCCACCCTTATGTCCTCATGTCTGTCCTGCAGGCCAGCGGGGCTCTGACCATCAAATAGTTCACCTGCAGCACCGTACACAGCTCTCAGTCGTGCCAGCCTCACTGCCTTTTTCCATGATTCCCATTTCACTCACTCCAGACATCTCCAACCCAGCTTTTAGGAGCAGCTCCACTAGATTGAGCTATGGCATCAGAGACATCAGCAGGACTGTGAAGCCGTTGTTACTGCACAAATTCATGCTCCTCCCTCCAGATTAGTTCTACACCCGAGCAGTCAACTGGACCACCACAAACTAAACCAGTTTGGATACCTGCACATCACACCTTTTCATGCAGAAAGCAGGCTGGGGATCTAGAAAGATCATGTAACTGAGCCTTCTGCCTTTATGTGAACACACTGTAACATACAATAACAAGAAGTAATTAAAACTTATACCATGATTGCACTAACTTCTCTTCTTACCGAGCCACAGCAGGCTGCAC